AATTTCATTTATCACCTCAGAACTTACATATTATTATAGGTCAGGTATTTTAATTTGTAGATAAAAATACATATATCACACCATCTATTAAAAATATATACTTAAGGCAAGTATATATTATTATTATGACACATAGTACCTATTTAGATTATTCAGTCATTTATCATTTACTCCCTTTTCTTCTATTATTGACTTTTCGTTTGAGATCATTTTCTTGTGCTTGAACTTTACCATGTTGTAGTTGAAATCTCATGGTGACAGATTCTGCTTTTGTTGACCCAAAAATATTTTTATATGCCTTTCATTCTTGAAGAATATCTCTGCTGATGTAAAATCCTAGGTTAATGTGTCTTTCAGCCCTTCAAAGATAGTACTCCTTTATCTTGTGGATTACATAGTTCCTTTTGAGATGTCAGATATCAGTCTACTTAGCGCTCCTTAAGGCAAGCTGTTAGCTCCCCACCCCCTGCTTTTCTTTGGTTTGTAGAAATTTTACTATAATATGCTATGGGGTGTGTGTGTGTGTGTGTGTAGGGGGTGAATCTGCTTGTAATTTGTAGGACTTCTTCAGCTTGTGGCTTGTTTTTTGTCGCTTTTAAAAAGTGCATAACTATTATCTTTTCAAATATTTTTCTTCTACCTGCTCTCCTTTAAGACTCTAGTTACATACACTATTTCACTATGTCTTCGATGCCTCTTACTCATCTCTTGAGTTCTTAATTTCCATTATTGTTTTTCAACCCTGAATTTTCCAATTGCTTTGGTTCTTTTTTTTTTTTTTTTTTGTAGTTTCTGTTTCTATACAAAATCCTCAGTATTGTCTCTATCATCTTCAATATGGTAAGCACAGCTATTTTCATTTTTCTATCTAATACCAATATTTAGACCTCTGCGTATCTGTTTTCTGGGTTTGTTTTTTTTTTGGTTGTTGTTGTTGTTGTTTCTGATTCATGTTGTCTTTTCCCCTAATATGTCTAGATCTTGTTTTTTGTTGTTGTTCCAAATATTATATTTTTAAGCTATTCAGAAAAGTAATGAGGCCCAAGCTTACGTCATTTCTTTTTCTCATGAAAGATTAACATTTGTTTTTTCTGAGCACTTATAAGCATTAGTATTACAAATAGGCTTTTCCAATTTCAAAGTCTGAGGTGATTCAGAGTTGAACTGTGGACCCTGCCAGGGACTGCCTGCTTTTGGTTTCTCTAGGGTCTTGACTGGCATGAATTTCTGCTTTTCAACCCTTTAATCTGTTTCCTGCCAGAGCCATTACTCAGATCCCATCCACTGCTTCTGGGGTTAGCAGATTCCCCCAGGCAAAAAAGCAAGCCTCAACCCTGAGTGCTATTCTTACTTTCTTGGATTCCAGCCTAGATGTTCTCCACTGTCTTGTTAATTCTCCAGTGTCTTAAGGCAAATGATTTTATGTTTTGTTAACCTAGTCTGATTATACCCAGCATGAGTACTGGTTTAAATTGTAAAATCTTTCATTATTCCAAGTGGGAGGCCTAACCATTGTTTCATTAATTAACTAATTAGGTCCAACAAGCCTTTACATAGCTAGTGATAGCAGAGACAACTAAGACCTAGGTATCCTGATTCTATACACTTACTATTACACCAGCACCAAAACATGCAGATGGATCTAGTAGCATTTTGGCATTTACTGTGCTCAGTGCCACCTTTCTTGGTTGATTCAACAAGCAGTAAAGATCCATTATTCTAGGAAACTCACAGAAAATCCTCAAACAGGCAATGTCCTCTCCCTCACTTTCCCATCCAGTTAAGTCGGATTTATTATTACCCCTTTTAAAAAGTGAGCGATGTGTAAATGCTTCAATTAAAAACGATTACAGGTTTAGTAAAATTCAATCCCCGTCACTTTGGTTTGGGGATAGGGTGTGTGTATGTGTGTGTGTGTGTGTGTTTTTGAGGTACTGGGGGTTGAACCTAGAGCCTCATGCATTCGAGGCCAGTGGACCCCAGTCTTTTTAGCATGAGAGACCAGTTTCATGGAAGACAGTTTTTCCATGGATGGAGAGTGAGGGATTAATTATTTCATTTTTTTAATGTTTGCCATACATAATAACTACATTTCCCAGTGCTAGCATCACCGCTGCAGCTCTGTCTCAGATCATCAGGCATTAGCTTTTGTTTTTTTGTGTTTTTTTTTTTTTTTT